CCCTATGAGATGTGCTCGTTATTTAAGATGAAGAAACTGAGACTTTAATGAGGGTCCTAACATACCTTGTTAGTAATCACTAAGTTTCAAACCCAGGTCCCTCATGTTCCCCTTGTACTTTGTTTTGTTAATGTCCACCCTGACATTGTCAGGTGCTCAACTGCTGCTGCTGCCAGAGGAGCTAACATTTGCGTTACAGTTCAGCTGTTCGCTGAACTCCTTCCAAGACAAGATTGAAGTCGTCATTCAGAAGGGTTCCCTGGTAATTTTTAACGTCTCTGTGAAAGACGTTTGCCTTGGCTGCATTGATTAGCTGACCCTCTGTGCCACAACCCTGGAAATATTGCCTGAGAGCTGACTGAATGGGCAGCCCATCCAGCCCCCATGTTCTTAACAATTAATGGCATTTCTCAGGATCCCAGTATTACTGTGACACTCATTGAAAGTGAATACACAGCCCATGGATGTGTCCGTTTTCAGTTTGTCCATAAAAGCAAGCCAGGACAATACCATGGCTTTTCAGCAACCATAAGCGACTGCAAATGCAAATTTGCAAAGCAGCTCAGTGCCTTCAGATCTGCTGGTCAGTCTCTTCTTGGTGCATTATTGACAGACGGATCGCCTTTCAGCCCAGGATGTTGTACTTGCTGTGGTAAAGGGCGCCTATCGCTGATTGCTCACGAATAACCCCTCCAGGCCAGCCTTTCTTCCCCACCATGGGATCAATATGCCTCTGACAAACATCTGAAATCTTTATTTGAGAGAAAGCACATTTCCTACCAGCTGTTTGTTTTCCAAACCAAATAATTCAGTTAATTTCTTGCCTGAATTAAATTTCGGGGCTGTAAATTTCTCTCATCAGTACTAAGGTGCTTTTAGGATGAATGGAGACAGAAAAGGGAGTATGGTTTCCTTGCTCTCTTTAGCAGTGCAGTGGTTAATGCTGCCCTTGTGCCTCTTAAACCCAAGCAGCCTTACCAGCCTTTAAAGAGTGGTCAGAGTTCCAGTTCACCATGCACACTCTTATGAGTGTGGCTATGGGTGTTCCATCTGAAATCTGGCTTCCTGGTTTGAATTCCACCTTTACTATTCACACACAGTGTTACCTATGGCAGGTAACCTAATCAGAAACTAAATTAGGCCTCAAGTTCCTTATCGGTAGACTGGAGAGGTGCTTTCAGTTCTTGATTTTACAAGTACTCCAAAAGTTAGAACGATGGATACGCTGCTATTTGCTGCTAGAAGTGTGGTCCCTGGACCACTTTGAGAACTTATTAGAAAGTCAGAAACTCTACTCTTTTCCCTCAAGACCTTATGAATCAATATTTATCTTATTTTGGGGTGCGTGTGTGTGTATTTTATTTGATGATTAAAGTTCGGGGAGTGGGGCTCTAGTTGCCTAAACAATTTTGTACAAGAAATCATGTTGACTCTTTTAGTACATAAAGATCTCCATCCTTGCCCTCTGACAACGAAGAGAGTCACCCAGCAGTGCCTCCCTTCACTCTGGGAAATGATCTGACATAGGCGGTCTTGATTTGCCTCCCTCCATTAACACAATGACTATATCACAGATAAAGTATCCCCAAGGGTCCCTGTCTACACACATTAGAAATATAGATTAATAGTTTTCACTTGGAAGACAGAGAGATACCTATTAACCTTAATTAACCTGAGCTAGTTAAAGGCACCAGCCTAGAATGCGCTGGCCCTGGTAGCTGATAAGATAGTATCTGAGAGCCTTGTAGATCAACAGATGCTGCTTCAGAGAACTTCTGAAGCCTCTAATGGAGTCAGGGTGGGGCCCGCAGCAAATCTAGTCCCAAAATAGAGGCTGAAGCCAGCAGCGGTAGGGCTGCTCCTGGTCCTTGGCCTCAGGCAAGACCCCTGTATTCATCACCAGGCCAGGCTTTTATTTCCTTGGGGAGTCCACCATCTCTTAATCACAAAAGCAATAAGGACTTCCAATATGTTCCTCAGCTGTGCCTAATCAGTTGTTTCAACTGCTACTCATCAGCCCTGATGAGTTCAGTCTTGAAGTTCACGGAAGAGAACCTTGTCCAGCTTTGAGCATAGCACTGACCCCCAAGGTGACACAGACAATGAAGACCAACCCCATGGGCAGCCTGTGTGTGCCGGTTGATTTGATCACAACAGTTTTGTTAACACTGCCCTGTGTTCTGGAGAGATTTGTTCTCTTCCTTATGCTTTGATCAATAGGCCACATTTTTGTGTCCATTGGCTGAGTTGCGAAAATCATTTTTGAAGGTGTATGGAAGATGTTTCCTTTGGCAAGGGACTCTACAGTTTTTCCTTTTGAGGTTAAAATTCAGTTGGCAAAGCCTGGGCATTTATCTATAAGCATAGTTTATGAAAAGCAGGTCTGTGAGAAGCCAGCAAATATTCAGACTACAAGCATTAGTGGAGACTAGCACCTGGCTGGCTGGAATATTGTGTTTGAGAGAATAAAATATCAGACTGTAGTGATTAAGATTACGTTCTGCTTCCATAGTACAATAAGGGCAGGTGTTCCCAGAAGTTCATGTAGCTAGGTGAGCCATTACTGTGCAACAGTGGCAATTTTGAGGAACACATTTCTTTGGAGAAGCCAAGGCCGAAGTCTATGGAAGCCATCAGCTATCTTGACTCCAGAGTTGTCTGTGTTATGGATGATTATGCAAGACGGGGACTGGAAGGATATTGGAAAGTGATCTTTGTGTTGTATTGTTTCCTCCATTTTTTGGTCATTATTTTAGTCACAGGTGACCTCAACCACCAGAAGTCATGCCCTAGACTCTGCATTCATAGTGCTCTGTGTACGCAGTGCTCTATAAGCTTCTACTAGGTTGTAATATTTTCTCATTCTCATTCTGCTTATTATGAAATTGAGGTAAGTCAGATGCCAGAGAAGCCTCAGCCAGTACTTTCAGAGTGGCAAGTTATATATAGCCGAAACTTCTCATCTTATTTTACTGTAGTTAGTGCGAAATGTAACTTCTGTAGCTAATAGAGACGTCTGAAAAGCCCCGTAGTTCCTTGTGAGCCTTGTGGTAAAACATGAAGTGTGCACACCAAGTTTCCTGTTGCCCACTGGGTTGTAAACAGCAGGGGCACTGCTTCCCCAGCAATAAACACAAATGCACACATACAAAAATACCTCCCGGGGAAAGTAAGTGATGGGTGCATTCAGCAACTACAACAAAATAAATGAGAGAGTATTTCTACACTAAAGAAAGGGGGGGGGGAAGTTAGCTGTGTTTTCACAGTGTCTCTGTGACCTCTTATTATTCCATTAGTTTTTGGAATAGTATATAAAACGCCAAGCTCCATGCTGACAAACACCAATATTAAAACTACTGCCACAGTCACTCCTAACGGCCTTCTCCCCTGGGTGAAATGATTTGGAGTACAAGCAGAATTGTGGTTCCCTGAGCTAGCAGAGCACAAATGAGGGTAGTGATTCATAAGGTGACTCTAGCAATTTTGCAAATGTGCAACTTTTATGGGGACACACACAAAACACGCACGCACGCGCTCACACACATACACACCAGAGAGCTGGTAATGCCTTTGTGAGCTGGCAACCACTTTCTGACCTCGCTACGTCTCAAGGCCTGGGAGGGCTGTGAAGAATAAATACAGCCTTCTGAGGACAAGCATTCACCTGACACAGTGATGGTTTACCAGAAATAAACCCTTCAGGTTAGATCATACCCCTGTCAGTAGCTTTTTGAGCGGGAAGATGGCATTTCTGCCTTTTCACATGTTCCTTTAAGTACTTGAACTCTTGTTCCATTGGGTTAAGCTTTTGGGGCTGGGTCATCTGGGGTCTTAAGTCTATCCTAGAGAGGTTGGAGGAAAGTGTTACTGGTCTAAAAATACAACTCCCTGAACTTTTAAACCTTAAAATCTTTTTGATAATGTGACTTCTGTTTCTTAACCCTGAACTTGATTTCTTTTATTTAAAAAAGAAAAATCCATGTATTCTTTGATATTAGTAGAGTAAGTTCAAAAAGAACAGCAATTCTCTTCTTTGTGCATAGCTTTGCGCAGAGAAGGGAGTTGAGCAGAGTCTGCATAATGGTGCTGGTATGATTGCGCAGTAATGAGATAGCTGCTGAGCAGGTCCCGACACCGAAAGCCTTTCTGATAGACTCTGAAAGTGACAAGCTCCTGGTTCCTCCCTGACATTGCACCAATTAGCTGATCTAAATGGGCACACACTCCAATGTGAGGTCACGCACCACTCTCAAAGGCAAGTCTGCCCCCTGTGAAAGGGGCTCTAACTCACAATCTGTGTCATAATAGCCGAAGGTGGGGGAAAGGTCCTGGGGCTGTGTGTGAGTCCCTTTTTCCTATTCTGTGGTCTTGGGAGAGGACTTATTTTTTTATGAAGACTGAGTATATTCATCTTATCATCACAGCATCGGGGAAATGCTAGTTTAGTTAGACTCTTAAGTTCAAAGGGTGTAGGGTTCTGTGCTGGTGATCGGATCAGAGAAGCGCTGATCTCATTACTTTGATTTAGCAGTGACAGAAAGAGCCTGTCCAGACCCATGAGAAGTACAAGACGCTCTGCCTTGTGCCCTGCCTGCCACCTAATCAAATACTCTGCTACCTGACTCTCGTCCTCTGTGACTAAATGTGCGAACATAGAAACCTTTGCATAGATGTGAACAGCACAAGATTGAGTAATTATACACTGTCCAGACAGGGAGCTGGTGGGGCCCTGCAGCACTATGAGCCAGGCCTTTGGATGTCAGCTTAGCACAAGCTGAACGTGAGCACCTAAGATAACAGAAAGGGCCCAGGACCCGAGGGACAGGTTCTGCCAGAAAAACACAAGCTGTATTGTCTGTAAGAAGAGCAGAAGGTTCCCCAAAAGCCATTGAGGGAAAAACAAGCAAGCTCCCCAAATATGCTTGCTGTCAGCCTTTGAGGTTTAGAAACTATGGCTTGGGTTAGGGCACAGTCTCATGTGTCTTCCCTTTTGCTTTCAGCTCCAATTTTCTCCAGCAGTCACTCGAGCCGAAGTGGAACAGCTGCTGGGGCCGGGCCACCCCCACATCTTGTCAGTCACCCTTCTCCAGGACATAATGTACAGGGGAGCCCCCACAACCCCCCTTCGCAGTTACCTCCACTCACAGCTGTGGACGCAGGAGCTGAGAGGTAAGGCCATCTGTCTCTCTCTCGTCATAGGTGTTGCCGCCAAACCTCCCTCTACGGAGAAGTGCTTTGACAGTTGTTGAATTTTATTAATAATCTGTTGGTGGGCTGAGTTACCCAAAGGTGACATTTTAAAAGTAACATACACAAAGCACGTGGACCAAATATCTCACTCTGTTATATTTTTCTGTGGGAAAACAAATGAAATGGTACTGGCAATAGCCAACTAAAGTGTCAAGTGCTAGAAAAATGACTCAGAATGTCCCTGTCTTTCCCATTTTCCTCAGTTTGCTTCGGAGATTCAATTTTAAGGTATTGTATGCACAGCTTGAGGTGCTTTTGAGATGTAAAAAGGAAGCCAGGAGTGTTGGCACACTCCTGGGATCCCAGCACTTGGAACGCTGAGGCAGGAGGATTGTTGAGAGTCAGAGACAAGCCTGGGCTACAAAGTGAGCTCAAGGGCAGCCTGAACTGCGTAGTGAGACCCTGTCTCAAAAGACAAAAAAAGTAAAAAGGTATCCAGGTCACATACATAGTAGTGTGAGCTTGTGTGATAATTGCTTTTGCTATGATAAAATACATGAATATGCAAACTGTAAGAAAGAAAGGTTTATTTTAGAGCACAGTTTCAGTCTTTGGTCGTTGGACCCTGTTGCTTTGGGCTTGTAGCAACACAGTACATCATAACAGGAGACCATGGCGGCACAGCCTGCTGTCTCATGGTAGCCAGAAAGCAAAGGGAGATCCTAACATCTTCTCACCTGGCTTCCTTCCATTAGGTCCTGCTCTTAAAGGTTTCACCACCTCCTAATAGCACCATGGGCTGCTAGCCAGGCCATCAACACAGGCCTCTGGTCCTCTTCAATATCTTAACTATAGCAGCTTGGAAGCCGAGCATACAAGGGCATGAGATTTTATATGGGTGATCAGAAAGGGGCTGTTCACTGAAAACCTTATGTTACCCTCATCCTCATAAAAGGTTATGGGTGGGAGGATTTTTAAGCTGTGATCTTTCAGATAATTTCATTTCTGAATTCTCCACTGGTTCTAGGAGTTTAGGGGAACCCTTCTCATACTTTTGCCTCCCCTCCCCAATCAATCCTGGATGTACTTTCATGGACCACAAAACAGTAGTCTGTTCAATGAGGGAAAGACACGATGACCTTGGCATCGAAAGCTGCTCTTTCCTATCTGGATTCATGGGGAACAGCATCCCAGACAGCAAGCAGGGAGGTAGCGTGAGGACACACACTGGGACAGATTAGCTGTAGCTCAGGGTGTGCAAGGCTAATGGGATCCAGACTAGCTAGGGGAGAGCCATGTTATTTTATGCTGAGGGACTTCCCTTTAATCCTACTTGAAGCAAAGAGCTGTTATAGGCTTTTTGTTAAGAGACATGATCAGGCTGACATCCTAGAGAAGGAAGTCAGAACAAGATGGTAGACTTAGGGAGGTTGGACTGGGAGATGTGGCAAACAAGGCAATAAGAATGTGGCAGGAACTCTTGCAAATAGTCGGATGGCGTGAGGAAAGGACAAGCAGTAAGAAGTTATTCAAGTGTTTTCTTTAGGAGAAAGTATTTGTAAATATTAATATGCATGGGGGATAAAGGAGAGGGGCCAAATATCATCCCTAAGTTTCTGCACTAGAACCTAAGATGAAAAAAATAGTGCCATTAACAAAAGTTGACAATGCAAGATGAATGCAGCAGTGTGGAAGAAACAAGGCTGTTGGGTGGAAAGGGTGGAAAAGAAGGGGAGGAAGGAAATGATGAGTGGACTTCCAGAGTTTTGAGTCTTAGGTGACTGTATGAATTAGATGATCAGACTTACTTTAACAGTTCTGTCTACACAAAGGACAACTCCGGAACCTCCCATCACACAGGATTAGTCAGCAAAGAAGTACACATGGTGAGCATCCATCAGGTTCACAGATATAAACACAAGCACCCTCGCTGTCCGGTTAGCTCCTGTGCTCCTGTATGTTGAAACGACCTTATTTTTTTTTTATAACAGTTGGGCTGTTAGCCATCAAGTTGTTATGGTGAAGGAGGACTCTTCCCACGTGGTAGTGAGTGAACTTCACTAGGATCAGTGGGAACTTCCCTGTTTTCTCTGCTTCTTACCTGCATGAGCATAAGAAGGAGGTCATCACTGTGATGCTTACTTGCCCACATCCTTTGAAAGAATATGCATACAAAAAGATTTTAACCAAGATTGGAGCAAAAACAACCACGTTGACAACCCATTTACTTGGCCAGTTTTATCTGAGCTTTGAGAGTTGCTGATTGCTTGTCTGTGGAGAAGTTCTTTAGTGACTCTTGGTACTTAGAGTTTAATTTTTTTAACATTTAATTTTATTCCTCAATTCTTCATGAAATTTTAAGAGTTCTTTCTTAAAATTTCTAAAACAGTACAAGGAATATCCATACCCAGAATGCATCCATGCTTACCCATTACTAATATTTTCCATTTCTCTGTCTGTCTCTCTGTCTCTCTGTCTCTGTCTCTCTCCTTCTGTCTCTCTCTCCCTTCCCCCCAAAGTTGTGTGCTTGAATATGTTATTTGTACACCCCTTGAAAGGTAACTGTGTATAACATTGAACTCCACCAATTATTATTCATTAGAGCTCTTCTGAGGACATTTTGCTATGTAGACCCCATATAGTAATCATACTCAAGATACTTAACATTGACAACATCATTATTACCTAATAGTTAATATTTGAATTTCTCCAAGTTTGTAAATAGTGTCCTTCATAGTTGCTGTGTTTCCCCCTTTTGATGATATGAGCATCTAACAAGCACATAATACATTTAGTTCTCATTTGTTTTAACCTCCTTGATTCTGATGGTTTATTATTACTGTTACATAACAGAACATCAGTGGTTTTTGAAGAGCTTAGGACATTTATTTTCTGCAGTGTTCCATGATTTGGATTTGTCATGATTGTTGCAGTTAGGGTTAGAGCTAGGGGAAATCATAGCAACCATATAGTTGATAGGATTTTCCCTAGCTTTTTTTAAACATTATTTTGCACCTCACAGAGAATTAGGGTTAAACATGCCAGAGTGCTGAAGCACTTAGAATGTTATGAGGTGCAAAACAGACATGCTATAGCGCACGTATGGATAGTCATAAACAGAGGGGCTTCCTAAGATTAAATGGTCACAGGGGTTGATAATGTAAATAATCATGGAAATAAATAAGAAGGGCATATGGAGGGGAAAGATAATACTTTCTGTGGATGAGTGGATGAAGAGAATGTGTGCATTTTCTGGTTGCTGACTATATTCTTCCCATAGAATGTGTGACCTGACCCTTCACCGGTGCTGCTGGAGCAGGCAAGTGAGAATGTGGTGGGCTATCCCTTCTGATCAGCCTGGAGAGAAGGATGACATGAAACAGCCCCAAATTATTCACTGTGTTTGCATTAATGACCAGGATAAAAACACGAAGAGGAAATGTGCTTACCTTCCGCTTTTGGTTTATGTATCTTTGCTTCTGTTTGCCTGGGAAGTCCCCCAATAAAAACTCCAGCAGTTTTCTTAACGGAAACAGGTTTATCACACTTTGCACTTTTGAGTGGGACACTGGCATTTTTTCCTGCTTTGTGAGCATTGATTCATCACTTGTGCTTGGCCTTAGCTGGCCAATAAAATGGTCTGAGTCACTGTCAGAAGTCAGGAAAGGTCCACAGTGTTTTCTCACTTAGCATTAGGTCCTTTGATCTCACCCCTCATAAAATAAAATAAATGGAGGTTCTCTTAGTTTGACAAGCTTCCACTTTTATTTTGAAGTGTTACCAGCATGACACATTATTTCACTGACTATAGCGGAACCACACCACATCACCTTGCATGGATTTGAACTTACCAAGGAAAATGGTGTTTTACTGTGTCATGTCCAACACACCCCTCGAGTCCCAAGTCAGTGGTGCTTCATGGGTATGGCTTCCCGTGAGAGGAAGTTGGCAGCTTTGGAAATGTTAATTCACTGGGTTTCATAGTATGTCTGTTAGGTCAGTAAAAGCAGAAACACTGATGGGCATTCCTAGTTGAAATGACAAAATCCTTGCTATTCCCATGCTAAGTTAGCTGGGTTTGTGTTGCTCATCTTGTTTAAGAGATGCCACTTGCTTCTTTCCTCTGAGGGCCACAAATGCGGTGTGCTCCCCCAGGTAGGTAGCAGAGTTTAAGGAACTGTAGACTGAGCTTAGTGCGCTGACCTACAAAGCCTTTCCTAGGAGCCCTGCTTCTGAGCCAGAGACTATGCGAAAGAAAGGATATGGTCTCCCTGGAGAGTATACAGCAGTACTCAACAGCGCAGTATACGTGACTGACTGTCTTAGTTATTTTCTCATTGCTGGAGAAAAATACCCAACACCCATAGTCAGAGAAGGAGAGGTTTATTTTGACTTAATTTGTAGAAGTTTCAGTCTATCCTTGGCTGGTCCCATGACACGGTGGCACATGAGCACAGAAGAGGAGAAACAGTCCATGGTGTGGGGGGTAGGAAGCAGAAAGGGAAGAGAGGAAGAGGAGGAAGAGGGGGAGGAGGAGGTACTGTTCTGGATTACACCCACTGACCACCTCTTCCCACCAGGGTTTACCTCTCAACACCACACCCAGTTAGAAACCATTCAGTGGACTCATCCATGCTTGATCCCATCAACCCCTAAAAGCCCCACCTATGAGCACAGAAAGCTTTGGGGATGGACACCTAGATGCAAGCCATAGCAGTAACCTTTGTGAATCAGCAGCAAAATATGTTAAGAATGTTTGTTTAGGAAAAAAGTAGTCAGTGCCCCATTATCACATAAAGAATCCCCTGATTCTTGAGTACCCATCAAGAATTGAGAACTTTTACCATTTTTCACTTCAATGCATTATTTTAGTTATGATATTTCTAGACTTTGGGGCACTTTTATGTATTTGTGGTCTTACTATGCCTCCCAGTATCTAGTACTGACTTTTGTAGATACCATTTTTAAATTCATCATTG